CCAGGACCCTTTTTTGTAGGATCCGGTCTCACATCAGTTGTCTGCCCTGCATTATTAACGCCCTGGTAGTGGGCTCAAAACATTCTAGAGATATTATAGCTTCTTGTTCACTTGCACAAAATGTTTTAGGGTTGCTTGTATTGTGTATAGTCAAGAGTAAAATGCCTTAACCCTGAAAACGGGAGAGTTTCCCACCCATATGTACTTTCTGAACCAAAGTCCCAATTATTTAAAACTGGCTGATATTCTCATACATTTTTCTGCCGATGTCTTGTGAACACTCTGACACCAGTTTTATAACCCCCGAACATAATGCTCTTTCGATTTTCACGTTTTTGAAAAGTAAAATGTGAGCTGTTTCCACTGACTGTGCACACGTTAAAAGGCCTGTAACTCAATACTGGTTCTGCGGCTGATTGTAGCAGAGCAGGTCAGAGATACAAAATTGTGATGTCAGATCAAATATTCATGCAGCAAGCTCACAAATGTTCAACACATTTCAGCGGAGGCAAATTCCATTCGTAGTCGAGTTTGCTTAAGTTTTGCCTGAAGTGTGCAAGTTCAGAAAATTTGGGAAATAAGTATGGCCTGTGTTATATCAAATTCAGAAAAAAATTCTTGCTTCAAAAGTAGACGTTGTTTTATTGCTTCAGAAGGGGTGTAAATATAATGAACAAGATCCAATCATTCTCCACTGCAGCTGTTGTGTGTCCCACCTTACCAAGCCTGGACCATGGTACAGTCCAACCCAGTGAATGCTCCACCCAGCATGAGCTTCCATACAACACCCAGTGTATATTCACCTGCAATGAAGGCTTCTCTCTCAATGGTCCCTACAGCAAGGTTTGCACTGCCCAGGGAGTGTGGAGTGATGCACGCCCAGTCTCCTGCTCAGGTAAGCTCAACAACCAACCAACCCATGTTCTTTTTAGCACAGAGGTCTCCCCAAAAAAGACCTTATAGTGCACCACAAATTATTGGTCAAGAAAAGGGAAGAGGTTTATGGCAACGATTACAACAGATGCTAGCACTTTGTCTGGAAATCTGGATTGAATTTCTTGATGGGTTCAGAAAAACTTGGCCCTGCTAATCTTTCATTGAAGGAAAAGTAGAAAAGTGGATGACAACGGACAAAAAGATTACAATACAACTTAGAGTACACAGAAATGCCAGCAGATTCTGTTAAAAAATTCAGCCAGGTCAATCTCAAGAAAAACGTGGGTCACCGTGGCCAATCCAGCCTTTCAAGCCTCTGCTGTGAATTGTGCACTGTACAGATAAAGAACTTGTTTTTTTTTCTTTTAATGAGCAGTTACTGTTACTCATGTTCCCTTGTCAGGACTCATTTCATTTTTGCTCTTTTGGTCTCATATCCTTGCCAGATTACCAGTCACCTGCATTCACCAAGCCCTGCCCCATATACATCTCTAAAATTGCACCCCCAAAAATGAAACAGGCTGTTGTCTATTTCGATAAGCCAGATGCCATAGATAACTCCGGTAACGTCACCGTGAGGAGGTCTGTATTTCATTTCATTTCAATTTGTAATACATTTTGTACTAGTCCTTATTTCATACACTTGTAGAGATCCAAATAACTTGCTTGCCATTTTGTTGGACGATGTGATATGTACAAAACTCTTTGTGTGGAAAGTTATTTTTCAGTATGTGATGTACCCACATGTATTCATGCTTGGTTGATTCACCGAGGGAATTCATGTGCTTGGCTGGCGTGGCTCGGGCATTAGATGCGTCCAGTCTCTTGAGCCGGTCTTAAACGCTAGTTTAGACTGACCAAGCACATATTTATTCCCATGTTTAAATTCCTTTTTGGTAAGAAAGAGTTGAAAGTAGTAAATGTATGACACATTTGCAATGATTTCATTCGAGAAATTTAGGCTGCATGCAAATCTCTTGTCTAGAGCTAGGTCTAGGTCTTCACTCCGGAGACGCGTAGACAATAGACCTAGCCGTAGCTCTGGAAATCTGTTCCGGACACGGCCATACTTTCATTGTTGCAGCCCCCCATCCATTTTTGATATATTCTCTTTTCAAGTTGTCCAGTAGGATATCCTTGTATGGACTTTGCGCTTGCATGGGGAACTGTGTGCATACAGTCTCTTGACCAATCAGAATCGATTAAACTGTGTCATATCCAGGTGCAAGCGCTTGATTCACTCAGTGGACATTATCACTTCTCAAGCAGGCACTATCAAATATTGATACACGGTCAAGGTGCACATTGTTAAATAGGGATG